ACCACTGGGTGTCAGGCCAAGAGTCTAACTGAATACCTAAGTTTAGTATTAAGCAAAACAATGGTTTCCAGTGGTTACTGGAAAAGACTGGCCCACATAATGTTTACAACACGAAAATCTAAGATTAAACAAAGTCTTAACTTCGAAAATGCACTTATACATTTGTTTTAGTCTCCTTAGTGTGCAATTTAGCACAGATACTTTCTTTTTTAAAATTGTTTTTAATGTTTGTCTATTTTTGAGAGAGGGTGGGGAGGGGCAGAAAGAGAGGGCAACACAGAATCTGAAGCAGGCTCCAGGCTCCGAGCTGTCAGTGCAGAGCCCGACACAGGGCTTGAACTCGTGAACTGTGAGATCATGACCTGAACCGAAGTCAGATGTTTAACCGACTGAACCACTCAGGTGCCCCTAGCACAGATACTTTCATAGGCATGACTGAAATATTTCAGATCTTAAAAATCTAAAAGTAATCCTTATAGTTTATAAGTGTGAAATGTAAGTATCTGTTCAAAATGAATTTCTTTTCCTTCCTATATATATATATATATATATATATATATACACATATATATGTACATGTATATATGTATATATATATATATATACACACACACATATGTATATATATTCATATTTTTCTGTCAGCAATATTATAAAAGTATGCTATCCTTAGGCATGTAACATATTAATATAACCAATGTACTCCAATAAGAAAAGAGATCTTGACCTTTTGATAGCATTATTTTAAATTTTTGACTCTTTTTAATATAAACAGAAATTTGTTCATCAATGATAAATAAAAGGTGGAATTTTATTATTATGATACATTTTTATAAGCACATAAAAACAGATATGCATAAAAACCTGAAGATTATGTTACTAATTATCAGTCTAACTTAAATTCTTTTTTTTAAATTTTTCTTTAAACATTTATTTATTGAGACAGAGAGAGACAGAGCATGAACGGGGGAGAGTAAGAGAGAGAGGGAGACACAGAATCTGAAACAGGCTCCAGGCTCTGAGCTGTCAGCACATAACCCGACGTGGGGCTTGAACTCACACACTGCGAGATCATGACCTGAGCCGAAGTCGGACGCTTAACTGACTGAGCCACCCAGGCGCCCTAGTCTAACTTAAATTCTTAAGTTCATAGGTCCAGGCTCTGAAGCAAATTTATGTCTAAAATCAACTATTTATGCAATTTAAAAATACATGTATAATAAACCCTAAAGTTAACACACCCACAGCCTTGTAGGCTATTCATGTTTATTGTTATAAGCCACATTATATCATACATTCCAAAGAAGTTCCTGGCTAGTGGGTATTCCTTTTATGCTCTCTGCTCCTCTGGATGAGAATGATTCTTACCAGCAAGAGGAGGGCCAAGAAGAACAGGGCAACACTCCACCACTGTGACAAGTCCCACAGCGCTGGAAAACCTCTGAGGGCCAACCAGGTCCATGAGCGTTTCAAAGAGGACACTGCTAACACTCCCAAATCCGAGACCAAAAAACACAGCATACAACACCAGGCTTGTGTAGTCCTCTGCCAACGGGCACAGGAGATGACACACTCCGTTGAACATGACTGCAAAACTGAAGAAGTACTGGATTCGGGGTCGGATAAATTTGGAGTTTGCAATGATTCCTCCACAAGGTCTAGCAAACATATCAACAAAAGCCATAACAGACAGCAAGAAAGCTGCAGAATACTCATCAATTCCCTTGTCTTTGGCATATGGAGCCAAGAATATAATGGGGGCAAAAAACCCTAGAAACATAATGACGTTTCCAGATAAGTATATCAGAAATCCCCTATGCTTAAAAAGGGAGAAATCTAAATACTTATTAACTCTTTCCCATCTTGATTTCTTCCTATGGCTTTTCTTCACATCTGGGTCATTCTCTCTTATTCCAATCTTATTTTTAGACTTCTTCGTAGCTTGTTTGGGTTCAACGGGTCTCATGAGCGATCCAGCCACACAAGCATTCAACAATAAGCCTCCTAAAATCAAAAAACTTCCTTTCCAACCAAAAGTATTAAAAAGGTACTGATTGAAAGGAGCCAATGTGCTTAAGAAAACAGGACTTCCTGCCATGGCGAGGCCATTAGCCATGGGTCGTTTCTTGTAGAAGTATTTGCCAATGATTGTTAGGGCAGGTTGCAGGTTGAACGCTAAACCTAAACCTAAAAAGAAAGACAAAAAGGAAGAAAAACACAAACACATTATGTCAGTCACAAAAGAAATCACTCCTTAAAAGGTACATTCACAAAGGTACATTGGTCAGGACCCAAAGTACAACAGCAGGTGGTAATTTTTGATGATAATTATTATCACAGAATTGCACATCAACAAAGAGGTTCTCATAACTGGACATTTGACAGGTATGACAGCTTCATATTGCTTTCATGTAAAAGCACAAAATTAAACCCAAGAACTTCTGATGTTTCCATATTCATAGAATAGGTTGAAATTAGGACAGAATTATTAGTTCTTACTTAAAATCATGTAATTCCACAGATAGGTTAATTCTCTCTCCATTTATGTAACATATATTTTTATATGCTTTATATTTATATACACACATATACAATAGATTGCTACCTTGTGGGCAAGAGTGCAATTTATGTGAACACTTTTGTTATTTTTATTTTTTTTAAGTTTTGTTTTTATATTTTGAGAGACACAGAGCGCAAGCATGGGAGGAGCAGAGAGAAAGGGAGAGAACGAGAAACCCAAGCAGGCTCCACACTGTCAGCACAAAGCCCGACGCGGGGCTTGAACTCACAAACTGTGAGATCATGACTTGAGCCGAAGTCAGACACTTAACCTACTGAGCCACCCAGGCGCCCCACCTATATGCATTATTGGGCAAAACACTTAGACTTCTTGAGTTCCAATCCCCTCAACAATAACAAATGAGGGTTTTGCCAAAGTCAAGTAAGTTCTAGAACTCTTAAGATGTTATATAATGACATTATGATGGTAATTATCTGCAAATATTTACTTAAAAGTAATGAAATTCTGGGCACTCTGTAAGGTACTGAGTATTCATTTTTTGCATGCATCATCCCAACAACTCCAAAAGGAAAGAGCTATCATTTTCCATATTCTAAAGACAAAAAGATAGAAAGAGGCTAATTTACCCACGATCAGCTAATATGTGCTAAGTCAGGATTAAAACTAGATTGTCTATCAAAAAGTATTGGCTGATAACGCCTTAAGATAAATCTCTCATAGGTGCATTTAAGGATTGACTCCAGAAGCGCCAAAGTCTTCAAGACTCAAAATAAATGGAATTGAAGTCAGAATAGCATATAATGCTGTTGAAATTTGTGGGACAGTAATATCAAAATGATCGTTTCCATATTACATCTATTTGTGGGCCCAGCCTGACTTCTATGGTCAAATGCAATATATGGTATTTCTGCACAAAACAAAAAAGGTGTTCCCTGCACTATGACAATTCTTAGATAGAAGATTCTCATTTACAATGTGAAAAAGTATTTTATCACATCAAAAACGTAGAGCGTTGTGGATAGGCTGTAAAGAGAAAGATTTTAACATCACTATTACTATAGGCTTTACTACATCTTATTTTTTTTTTCATCAAATGATATGCCACTGAAGGGTTAGACTGATCTAAAATTACTATAAAAAGAGAAATACACTTACTGTTTTGCTGTGAGCATAAGGAAAAGATTCAATTTCTTTATACACTGAATCCAATTTTCCTTAAAACTTTGCGTTTAGATTTGCTTAATGCAATTTATTGTTAAGGCTAATAAAAGTAGTGTTTTCCAAATGTACATATTTAGGTCAGTTTAGGTCAACAGACATTACACATGAGGAACAACTGTAATTAAGTGACAGTATAAAATTTAAAAATATTAGCAGCAAATGTGCCTTACAGAGCCTTTAAGCAACTGGAATCTTTTGTAAGGAAAAGAAGGGACCCTAATACAGAGCCCTACCACTAACCAGAACACAAATAAAAATAATTCTATTGTTAGAGCTAAATCAGTGCATGCAGAGAATATATTTTGGCATCATTTTTTAACCTATAATGAGTCATAAGTCAGATACTCTAAATAGTGGTAAATAATGAAAAATAACTTTAAAAAAAATGAAGCTATTTATATGCCAGAAAGTTTATGTCCATAATACCCCATCTTAACTGGCTGATGAGCAAATGGTGAAATGATAAAATTAAATGAAAATGGTTTTCTTTTCGACATTGATATCATAGCACCTAATGTGTCTAATATTTTGTTTCTTCCATTTCTTGAAATAAGTTTGATTGGCCATTCCATGGTAGTATTTCATTGTACTCGATGAAAATACTTTATGATAGCATCTGCTATAAGACATAAACTCAAGTAAAACAATGTAAATGTTCTATTGTTTATGCTTCTTACAGAGCTTTGCAAACAATGGAAGTGTTAAGAAGAAAATAAGCAGAAAACAAAACGACTTACCGGTAATGAATCCCACAGTGAGGTAGAGCTCTATTACGCTGGTACTAAAAGAGGCTGTGACCATTCCCAAGCAGCATAATAAACCTCCTATCATCACTACTGGTCGGCTACCATATTTATTCACCAGAACACTACTTATGGGACCTGAGGTAGAGAGGAAATGAAGAAATATTCAATTGCTGGGTCATTTACTTACAGTTTATTTTTTAACATTTGTTAATTTTGAAAGCACGTTTTAATGATCAAACAAAAATATTAGTTCACATAGAATATAATGAAGACTTTTCAATACTTCCTAATCAGATCGACTGTTTTTCTTTAACCATATATATGACAGCACATAAAATAATAAATTCTAAGTGTTTAACATATAGTTTACGACCATAATCATTCAACTTTTGATGCAAAAGTTTTTCAACAGGACATAGTTATACTACCCAATATTTAATAAATGCAAACAAATTTATGTAACAATCTAGAGATTACAGAAATCACTTGTTATCATTTTATTTTCTAGAATAATATATTCTATGGGCAAACACATACATATCCTCTTAATTAGAGCTCAAAATTGTTTTATGATACCACAGTATGATTTTCTTTATAAATCCTTTTTTGAAAAATTTCTTTTGATTCTAAGATGCCAATTGTTTTCATATTTTATTATGTTAGAAATGAGGATGTCTCACACTAGAGGTCTCTTAACAATCCCTGTTTGACAGGTGGTGGTCATAGGTAGCAAAGTAGCTATCACGGCCTATGCATGCTTGAATTTGGTTAATTCTGTGGCTTGGTTGGACAATGGCAACTCTTCATATTTCATATATTTCAAATTGCAATCAAACCATATAAGGACCACTTGAAGAAGTAATATGAATATGAATCCTGATTATTGTCTGAAGTATTCTCCTGTTGACACATTCTGATAATGTCAAAAAAGTACCAGCATCAAAACATACTGAATAGGTAGAGCAGCTGAGATGAAATTACCAGAGAAAATGGCAGATCTCTCTAGTAAGATATGCTGCCTCACTGGCAAAGAGAACAAGCTTACGTGTGAAACACAAACACCGAGAACGCTGACTCAAAAACTAATTTAGGAGAGCCATATACTGAATGGGAAGAAGTTTTAGAAATGCCTTACTCAATTTATTTAATGTACACTTCCTAATGCATGTGTGTGTGTGTATATATATAAAATGTGCAAGAGTGATGAAAAGGATTAAAATCATCTATGTTTACATCTAGAAAAGCTCTTTTGGTAGTTATAAAATAAAGGCTCTAAATATTAAGAGCTGTTTTATTTTAATCACAGCAATTTTTTTAGCAGTATCTCATAAAATAATGGTACAACCTAACAATTGAGGTCATCTTAGATTCCGTGAAAGTTTATACTATTTTATGAGAACTGTCAACATGTAAATGGTTTGATTTGACATTTCCTTCTTAACTAAAAATCATGTTTCATCTATAACAAGGGCCATTGCTTTGAGGAAAAAAATACTACATTAGGTCAGAATTCTCAGCCCAATATTTAGCCTAGAAAATAATTAATGATTTTTAGTTAATACTATAACTTAAAAATTTGCTAAGTGCTATTGTACTGCATTTGAGAATTTTTACGTGGATAGTATTTGAAATATGTTCAGATTCATTTGTCAATAAGCCTTATTCTTTCATACAACTATAGTTATTATTTTTATTCCTTAACTATAAGTTGAAATAAAAACTTCATGGCCTAATATTACTCCACACATCTTCTGAAATGGTATTGGTAAAAACACATTATTTTACAAAAAGCACTCAAAAACAGAATATCACATTTTGCATTTAATACCAAACAAAGCAAAACTAAAAAGGGCCATATGAAAGATAGCTCTATAAAAACAACAGAGTTGGGGGAGAAATCAATGAAAATTGTACAAGATAATGTGAAAAGAATAGATTTCTACCACTAAGATGGTAAAAACTCGTATGATTTAGGAAATGAGCATTTTCATTAAAAAGCACATAGCTAAATTCAGATAGCCTTTGTGAGAACTGAATTGATTAGCTTTGATTAAGTATTGAACTTAAGTGTATATTCCTTTTCTTAAAATTACTTAACCAATTCACTTCACTTCACTTTAACTCAAATCAGTTCAATGCAATATTTCTTGAGCTTCTAGTATAAAACCAGTTGACATACACCAAACATAAAATAATAAACGCACAGCTATAAACATCAATGCATTATAGTCCAGAGGAAATTAACAACAAGTTATTTTAAGAACTGTGATGAGTGCTTTGATTAAATACCAGACTATTCAAAGGCATTTATCAATTACTTGGACTAAAAACAATTTTCTCAGTATCGTTGAAATTATATATGCCATTTTCTATGTGATGCCTGGATAACTAACACAAGGGCTAATTACATTTTACAAATGTATTTGCCTAAACGGTATAAATTTAAATTTGAACAGAGGCTATGAATCACAACTTAATTTGCAATGCATTGTAAATAATGATGTCTATAGTTTAGGATAACGACATAAAGGCTTTCATTCCCCACCCCCACAACTGTGACTGATTAAGAGTAGCCAATAAAGGGGCGCCTGTGTGGCTCAGTTGGTTGGGCAGCCAACTACAGCTCAGGTCATGATCTCATGGCCTGTGAGTTTGAGCCCCTGCGTCGGGCCCTGTCCTGAGTGCTCA